CAAACATGCAGAAGAAATTTTGAAACTACTGGAGGCAGTTCAACTCCCCAAGAAAGTGGTAATCATGCATATTAAGGCACACCAGAAAGTGAACTCAGAATTGGAAAAAGGAAACGAGCTGGCGGACAGAGAGGCAAAACACGTGGATAAAACAGAGGTAAAAACTGAAGGGGCTTTAATCCCTGATGGACGAATCTCCGTAGAAGGTAAGCCAGAATATACTAAGGAGGATCAGAAATTTATTACAGATTTAGAAGGGTCATATAATGAGGAGGGGTGGGCTCAAACCCCACAGGGAAAACTGATCATTCCCTCTTGTCTGATGTAGCATCTGGTAAGTGAAGAACATAGGAAAAGGCAGGGGGGGACAGAGGCTCTCTATAACCATCTAATCAGAGAGATGGTGGCCAGAAATTTATACACCACGGTGAGACAGGTGATTCAGCAGTGCGATCTTTGCCTCCAGACTAATCCAAAAAATAACCCTAAACCAGAAATGGGTCAGATTGGAAAAGGTAATGGGCCTGGACAACAATGGCAAATTGATTTCACGGAACTCCCAAGAAAAGGGGGGTACCGATATCTATTGGTATTAACTAATACCTTTTCAGGTTGGCCGGAGGCATTCCCAACTAGGATGCCTAAAGCTCAGGAAGTAACTAAAATATTAATACAAGAGATAATAGCACGTTTTGGGATTCCAGCAACTATGTCTTCTGATAGGGGACCATATTTTTTTTCAAAAATAGTACAACAAATTAGCCATCACCTGGGTATAGATTGGCAACTCCACACCCCATACCGCCCTCAGTCAAGCGGCCAAGTGGAGAAAATGAACCACTTAATCAAGCAACAAATTGTGAAATAGGGCAAGAAACAAATTTGGCATGGCCTCAGTCCCTCCCTCTAGCCCTCTTGCGTATACAGACAAGGCCAAGGGCAAGAGAGGGACTGAGCCCCTTTGAGATCCTGTATGGACCCTACGGGATACAGAAGGGGATATCCACGCAAATTTGGGATGAAATTATGACTTCTTATTTGGTGGCACTGAGCAAACAATTAAACAAAATCAGGAAACATGTCGTTGGAACCCGGGGGAGTGGTGTAGATTGACCTGTACATAATAAACACCCTGGAGATTATGTGTATGTAAAGTCTCTTGCAGAAAAAACTTTAGAGCCACAGTGGGAAGGACCATATCAAGTACTGCTCACCTTCTTCATGGCCATCAGGATCAAGGAACAGAACGCCTGGATTCATCACACCAGAGTAAAAAGGGCACCTAAACAGCCATGGGCATCATGAGAAATTGTACCCTTGAAGCTCAAAGTATCAAGACATTGATGAAAATTGTATTTTTAGGATGGACGTTACCTAGAAGGGAAGCCTGGAGCCAAAACACCTATTTACAAATAACTGAAAATATGTCAAGAATATTGAACTTATCCGATTGTTGGATAGGCAATACTCTCCCTCAGGGTGGGCTAGAACTCCCTTTTATAGGAATACCGACTAGAAATTGGACCATTTACACTAACGGAATGAATATGAATGGATCATGTGTGTATGGGAAGTGGAATACAAGAGAAGGACGAAGTTTTGACCTAGACCTCCCGCTCTCAGAAATAGTAATGATTTTGGGTCGTTGTTTGGTATTCAAAGACAAAATATGAATAGGTATGAAAGATTGTCCTACTGCCAAAGATTTAGGGACTTTTGATGCGGAAAGATTGAAACAGATAGGATTAAACTTGACTTCAAGTTTATACCTCATTCAAATACCAAGAAAGGAAAAAGGTAGGGAAGATAGTAGAGAACAGAACAATGGTCCAAGATGCAAAATGGGACCTGGATATTGGTGGCTCTTGACTTCAAGTTTATACCTCATTCAAATACCAAGAAAGGAAAAAGGTAGGGAAGATAGTAGAGAACAGAACAATGGTCCAAGATGCAAAATGGGACCTGGATATTGGTGGCTTTTGCGGTGACGGAAGGGCTAGAAATAGTTTACCTTTAAGCTGGAAAGGTCATTGTGCTAGAGGGTACCTTACACCTGTTGTACTAGAGCGTACCTTACGCCTGGAGCAAGCATTCACAAAGGTACCTCCCCTCTTACGGGACTTTTAAGAACCCCCTGGATTCGTTTTAAGAGAGCGGAGAATCCGTTGGTAATTCGAGGCACTGGCTTTCATAGCTTTGTACGATGGTTAATCCCCTCTTTGGGAGTAAGCGAGTTAGAGAAAGCTATAGTTAATATATCGGCTACTGTCGAAACTCTGGAAAATTTAACATTAGATGCCATACAAGGAATACAATTAGAAGTAGAATCTTTAAGCAAGGTGGTAAAGCAAAATTGAATGGGATTAGATGTGCTTTTAGCTAAGGAAGGAGGATTGTGCATGGTTATTAATCAAACCTGTTGCACCTATGTAAACCAGAATAAAAAA